CAGGTTGAACGACTTAATGGTACCCTTTGGAAGACCATCTCCTGGCTCTAAAATCGCGCGGCTTGCCTGTCACACATTGAAAGGTTGTCCTCCTTGATGCTCTCCACTGTATCAGATCCCTGTTATGTACTAGTATCAACTGTACCCCACACGAACGTTTCATGCCGTTCACACGACGATCAGCCTCCCTACCTACCTGGCTTACTGTCCCTGGGCCAATCCTTTTAAAACGCAATAATCGAGTCTCTAAATATGACCCTCTGGTAGAGGAAGTGGAACTCGTCTCTTGTAATCCACAGTACGCCCACGTAGTTCGTCCAGATGGCAAACACGAAACGGTATCCTTGCGCCGCTTGGCTCCCAAAGGCAACGACATGACATCCGACACAGAACAGGAACCAATATATATCGCCGAACAAGGGGAGCCTCACACAAAACCATCGGTCCACCGTGATTGCTCAGAAACTGAACTCTTACCTATTAACGATGCCTCACCATCCCATTCTAGTGCAGATCCAGGAAATCAATTGGACGTTCTTATCCGACAACAGCGCACTCACCGATATAATCTACGCAACAGAGGCGTAAACGACTCCATGTAGCTAGTACAGCCTTTTATTTTTTTTTACATTCTTTCTCCGCAAAGAACACACTTATTCCAAGGCGGGGAGAATTCCATGACCATATAACCCATACCTTTGCATAACCCATTAACTCGTGATTCTCACTCTATTTTCAGCTCATGTACTACAGCTATTAGACGAGTAAAGCGTACATTACGTCTTTCTATTCTGTCTCCTTTCTAATCCCGTCCTGGAACTACTCGGCTCTCGCAACATGCTGGTTGTTGCAGTCAGTGTCATTGTTCCAGAATCTGTCGGATGGTGAAGATAGGATCGATGCATCCCCTTGCAGGACGGAACACAGCTTGTTCGGGATCTGCGCCGTCCTGGAACTACTCGGCTCTCGCAACATGCTGGTTGTTGGAAGCAGTGTCATTGTTCCAGAATCTGTCGGATGGTGAAGATAGGATCGATGCATCCCCTTGCAGGACGGAACACAGCTTGTTCTTCAGGGATCTGCGTTCAGTCAATCTTCGGCAATCTTTGGCACCTTCGATGCCACAGCTAATAGGCTGATGCCATGGTTTCCACACAGTGTCCGTGTACCCTTTTTGAACATAGATATAACCATCGACATGCACCAATAAGCTTCCGACGGACGATCAACGCTTACATTTCATTCACCCGCATGCACTATCACTACAGGCAGTGTTGCAGGAGGCCAGCTGAACTGCTGTTCGAGGTGTTCGGCTCATCTTTCCAGTCGACGTTTTTGCGAGTGAATTAATGAGCCATCTTTTTCACTTATCGTTTCGCCGACCGTTGCTTTCCTAGGGCCAGTCGATCGTACCAGTTGATATACGGCACGGTTGTTTCCCTTAGCAAAAGGCTTCCCCATCTCTCGAGCTTTCGATGCCCAGCAGAGCTCCCGATCTTTCCTTAGACTCTTCACTATTTGGCGTTTGAAGGATCTGCATGCACAACCGCACTCGTTGTCTGCTGGTGTGGATTTCCTGGCATTAATCATGGATAGCGATCTTGCCGACATCCAGTGGTCTTTGCTCAAATCGGAGAGGTCGGACAGACAGCATTGGAAGCCGCTAACATAGCTCCTTTCACATTTTGCTACGCTTCATCCACATACTCCCTGCCACTGCGGTATTGGTTTATTGTGGAGAGTTGTTGGGCTAGCTAGCTAGATCGGTACTGTTAAGCTATGGTCGTTCTTCGAAGATGGTGGATTGGCGTGTTTCTTGCTACTTTCCGAGGACCTGAAAGGAAGCCGTGCACGCACCATGGTGGTATCGGAATCAAGCGGTGCGTCCCAGAAGGAACGGCAGTCTTGGACTATGGCTCTCCACCGGTGGCTGATGGCCACGTGGTATAACTGGGTCCACGGTTGATTTGCAGTTGGTGGCCGCCAAGTTACGCAATGCGAACATTTATGTTGAAAGTTCGTACTTGCCAGAAACAGTTTATGGTCAGCACACAACACGAAGAGTCTATCTTCGTTGCCTGTACGGCGAGCATCGACTCCGAATCGACCAACCAAATGTGATTCCAATGAGCTCAGACGACCTACTTGAGCATTCATATAGCCTGCAAGGATCACCCTGTGGCATGAGAGTATGGTAAGTTGTGTAGGTCATGGTTGTACGAGGGTTGGGATACTACCAGGGCACCCATACCTAGACAAGAAGACGAGTAGGGTCCTCAACTAAAGCCTTTTGTTCAAAAGCCTAACCGCAAGGCAGCGGTGTTGGACTGTAAATGCAAATACATTATCATTTTTACGGAACACATCGTCACGCATATTCCAACCCCCAACCTGGAGGGGCAGGAGACTGTTCGTCAGACCTACCCACTGACAACTGGAGGGGCAGGAGACTGTTCGTCAGACCTACCACTGACCTGGTATGGGAGACTGAGTGTCGCACGGACACCCCCCCAGCACAGCTCAATGGGTCGCCGAGGTACACAAACCGCCACATCAGGACAAGGTCCAGTCTCTTCGTGACGGCCTTATTAAGGCTATACAGTAAGCAAAATTATCCTCAAGAGGGCATAAAAGCAACCCAAACTCACCGCAACGGCTATTTTGGCCAAAATCCCTTCGGGAATTCGCGAGAGTAAGTAGCGATAAACAAATTTGTAAAATTTGTCCAGAGATGTGGCCATCATTTCCATGCAGATCCAACAATCACCTTCTTCAAAAAGCGCACCGTAGAACCGAACAATAAAAGGGCAATTAGAGGAGTGCATTACAACATCTAAATCTTTCAACGTTTTCGTTTGTTCACTCTCGTTCAGAGTTGAGCGCATACGCTGTTTTTTTGTTAAACAGAAAAAGAAAACAAACCTTGACAGCCATCACAGATCCAGTGGGTATATGTAGCATGCGGTTGACAAAACCAAAAGCACCACGTCCGATCTCACCTTCGTCGGCCAAATCGTTGGCAGTGAAAACCTTGAACGTTTAGAAAGAGGGATGAGAGCTCGCTCACAGAGTCAGTACACACTCCAGGGATGGTTAGCCTGCCATGACAAGACTGATACACGAACCCCCTGAAGATTATTCGAGTCAAACAACGATTAACACAAACTTACGCAGACACTGGCCTGTGATGCTTCAATTCACCGAGAACCGGACGTCTAAGCTGGGGGGCCGGTTTAGAAGACATGGTTCACAGGAAGTGAATGAATCCAGTTGTGATGACACACATTTCGACTCCAGTTATTCTGTAATAAGATGAATTTATGACATTGAAGCAGCCGAAAAAAGTCAATCCACCAAATGGACTCGTTCAACTACGTGCTTACATACGTGCTACGTGCTACGTACACATGTATGGCAAAGTAAGAAAGGGGAGAAACCACCACGGTCAAATTTAACAAGCAACAGGATGCTATCCTCCAACTGCCCAATGTCCAAGCCCTACCTGTCGCCCCAATTAGCCGTCTACATTAGCAAACGAGCACCCGTTTCGATAATGGTTGGAACCAGTGTAGAGTATTCACGGTCTTCAAACGCGGTGGGACTCGAATGTATGTGAGGACAAAACTAGTGGATTAAGTGCATGAGACCACATTATGGCTAGAGTACTTATTCATTTCAACAGCCCTGCATAGCCTTTCTGTCCTGCAAGACTCACCTGAGCCTCAGCCCGAATCTCTTGTTGTTCCTACTGTACGTCGATGACCCAGACTTACCACCTATCCTTGCCTCATTTTCGCTAGTGCTTGAATAAGGCAGAGCTCTCAAAAGGATCCACCTCCGACGGATTTGGACAGAGACAGTGAAAACGACGAGGACCTGTTCACCGACCGTACAGTAAAAATCACCCGGAGTTGCAGGCATCCAAAAATAGGCATCCGAGTTCAGTGACTCCAAACTCCGTGATTGGTGTCGTTCCAGCAAAGCGAACGAGGGCAGCTATTCCAGCCTCCGAAATCACTGTAATCAAAAAAGCAGGTTTTTATTCCTCTCTCAAATGCCTCCGTATCTCCATCCCTCAATGGCAAGCGACTGATTCAGCTATGTGCTGACCGCAGACTATCTTTATACAGTGCAAACGTCCGAAATAACCGAAGAGGTCTGGTCAACGGCATTCGGGGTACCAACACAAATCACATCGTCATCAGTTACCGATGGCGTTGACCCATTCTTCACACTCCATCAGATGCCAGAACAACACCATACGTGCAAAGAACCCACAACTTTAGTATTCTTGTATTTCCAAGGCGCATTTAACTCAATTGATGGGTCTGTTCTCCTTAACGCGCTTGCCCATCAAGGAATACATCAGAAGTTTGTGAGCATAAGTTATTTGCATTATCAGACTTCCGGGAGTAGGATTATACAAGCTCTCTAAAGGCTTTCGTACACAAAGTGGTGTCCTTCAAGGGTGCGCACTCTACTCATTCTCACTTAATTACATTAATGAGGAGATAATGAGAGCAACGCTGAGAGGTCTTCAAAAACCCAGTGTTTAAATAGCTTTGATGAAAAACCCAGCCAATCCAGAATACACAAATGTCATCGTCATCGCCTTCGAAGAGAAGGTGCAAGTGTTTCTCGATGAACTGACCACATTCATTCCGTCCTTTGGCATGCACCTTCAACCAAAAAAGTGTAGGACCATGTTTAGGGACATGGCATCACCGAAAACGCCAGGGAGTGGCACTCGAAGTTGTGGAGCGTTCTACGTATATTAAAAGTTGTATCAGTTCCGACGAGGTCAAAACAGGGCACCCTTGCTAACTTGAGATGCACAAAAAATAAAAAAAATCGCTCAGTATCCTTTCCTTGTCCACACCTAGACAGGGAAAGTCGGCCTTTCCTGTTCAGGCTTGGACAGGCTGGCAGTATCTCAGCCCTCGTGCTTCCTTTGGGTGGTATGGCAGCTAGGCACCGAAAGGGTGTTACAGCTGAACGATTATCTTATCTATTTTGGTCGTTGGCTTGTTAGCTGAGCTGAGCAGTTCTATTGCAAACGTTTCATCACCAATCTTATCTTATCCCGCTAACACTTGCTCAACAGATTATGCCCTAAAACATCGTTCGGCTGTAGCACCCTCTCGGTACCTAACTGCCATCCCACCCTAAGGTTGCACCAGGACTGGGATACTGCCAAGTTGCCCAAGCCTAGACAGGGAAAGTCGATATGCATAGATCGGATTCGAATCACGACCTTCCGGTCAGCAAATTCGCCCTCTCACCATTTGGTCCATCTCGCCCAAATCCGTCCTAAAACGTAATCGGGAACATTATTCACAGACTTCTGGACAAATGACTGCTTAACCAGCTTTAAAAAACCTTCCCAACGAAGGTCGGTGTGACTGATTAAGTCAGGGCACAAAACACAAAGGTACTGATGACGTCCATTAAATTGCGTTACCTATGACATCAAAAATGCATCATCATTAACACTATCATCGACAGCATGACATCAGTGTTCAACACCGATGCTTCACTGCCGTACAACCATGATTTATTTGAAAGCCTTATTGTAAAAGAAAGGGTAAAGGTGGACAGTAAAGGGACTTGGTGCTAGCTTAAAACAATCATTCCGAGGTTCCTACACCTCCAGACATTCACTCAGGCAATCTGGATGGAACCTGACAACAAGAACGCCACTGACCCCGACCCCCAGCCATATCATGTAGTGTCTCCAACCAGGCACAGTGAGGATCACGCGTTCCCCATCCTGGAAGGCGAGTAGCACCGACAGCACCCAAGCTTTTCGTGATCTCTTTCATGCTCCTCTACCAAGTCAAAGGTTGGCCACCTCTCTGTTTACCCCACTCTGAGTTGGGCATGGAAAACAGTACTCTCTTCGGCAAACGATGGTTCGGCATGCGTAAAACATGTCCCAACCAACGCAGCGTCTGGTGCTGGACACATTCTTCAATGGAAGTACCCGTTACACAACCGAAAACACGCTTTCTAACTGCCTCGTTACGGATTCGCCGACACCAACCCACACGAGCTATGGTCCTGAGACAACGATTGTCGAACACCTGAAGACGTCTCAGGTCCGCTGCTCGAATAGGCCAAGTCTCACAACC